ACCAGAATAAAAGCACACGCCAAGGGCTTTGGATTCTTTCAGAAAAGGAAATCACGGAAATCAAGCAGGATATTTCAATTTTATTACTTAAAAGTCAATAGAGGGAAGTATTATAAAATATAAAGTAAGTATATTATAAGAATGAGAAAGGGGAGTCTGGCACCCAACATGATTGTGCATGTCTGTGGGCATGTGATGGGGGTAATCTACCTAATGACCTTAAGTCCTGCTGACCTCAACACCATTTCCAGGAGGCAAGATTAACTGCATTCTCCACTATGCTCCTCACATAATACTATCTTTTGCCACTGCACTTGTCACTGGGTAGCTAACTAATGTGTTAGCAAGTCGAGCTCTCCATAGCAGATAGTGAGTTTCTTGAGGGCAAAGGGACTGTCTTATTCTTCATATCCACAGGAGTTAATCCCCCTTCCTGTCACACAGTGAAGACTTTGTGACGGAATGAACCTCGACAATGTGAGGAAAATCTGAAGATAGTGTGGAGAAAAAGACTGATGTTGTTCCAGGAAACCTTATGAAGTTTACAAATTATATAATTTTTTTCAGTTAAGTTCTCGCTGATAGTGACTCTTCCAGAATAAGGTATTCCTGGCTCCCTATCCAACTACACTTGTCCACACACTCGCTGTAAACAGCACATGTATTTTTGCTTTAAAAAAATGGGCAGAATCAGCCTAAAAGTTTATAATCTCGCCCAGCTCACTTCTTTCTTCCTCTCCTACTCCAAATGTGTTAACTTTAATATCTTCATGTGCAAATAGAGTTGTGTTTATATGTAGTTGAGCATGTAATATCCCAAAGAGAAAAAAGAATGAACAAATTAATTATGTCTTTGTTTTTTAATTTTTCAAGCAGAAAAGCTGAACAGATATTTGAAGATTTGTTTGTAAGGCCATTATTGATAATTTATAAAACAAAAACAGCATGCTTTTCACAAATGCATTTCAGATTCACAAGTTTAATAATGGAAGTAAATTACATTTACTAAAGCAATTTCTCATTAAGGAATAAAGGAAAACTTAAATCAACACTGATGGCTTAAAGCTGGAATATGCTAAAGGAAAAGTAAGATGTGTTCATCAGTGTTTAGTCTCACAAAAGAACCCTTTTAATTTTAACTTGGTTTCATTACTCTCTGGTCACTAATGATGCCAAAACCCACCCTACTCCTTTTCTGAGCTCTTTTAACATGGTCAAGGAGCAAGCCTCTGTAGACACATCATTTTAAGGCCAGAATGTCTACCAGAAGTGTGAGGAGTCTGCATAGTAGCAGCTGACCAACTTGATCTGAAAGCAGATTAAAGTAGGTGCTAACCCTGGCATGTTTAACATTAATAATCATTGAGCAAATACTTCCAATTACAATAAGCAAACCATAGTATTGCCAGAACTTTTAAAATACAATTTATACAAAGGAGACAATATTTGAAATATTTTTGCTAACACAAAATAGCACTCTATTCTGAAAGTCAAACTACTTTTTCTTCCCATAAGCTTCTAAAGAAGAATTGGGGAAATTTGTTTGTTCCTCTCATTTTAAGTCATATAAGTCCAAACCAGGTAGTCTATGAATAGTCTTGACTTACTGATCACCTATATTTTATTGTTTTGCTAAATTCAAGCACTACTTAAATATATTCAGCTGTCTGAAAAGTAGGACAATGTGACAATGAGGTACACTGCCTGATTTATTAGAGGTTCTGGGAAAGTATAATGACTCAACTTATCCTAGATTCCTAAGCTACAAAGAACACTTGAGGACAAGGATTGTGTCTCATTTGTTTCAGCTATTCCTGGCACAGATAGATGCTAATAAATACTGAATAAATGAGAACATGCTTTGAAAGTATATAGTTTCTGCTTTCATTTTTAAAAACCTATGATTCTGATATAAATTTTTAAAACATGATTCAGATCACATTTTCATATAATAATGCATGGCTTAAATAGTTTATGCACATTTGCAATTTAAAACTATAAGGCTGTCTACAAGATTCAGAATCTCACTCTTGTTTTAGCTGCCACTGCCATTAAGTGGAGCTTTGTTAAGGCACAGTTCTACTCATGGTCTCCTGGGAGGCCAAGCAAAATGAAAAGACCAGAGGTTTGGGAAGCAGGGTCCAAATCTCTTCTCTGCCATTCCCTTGGTGGTCTGCCCTGGGGGAGTCCCTACTCTTCTTGGATGAGGCTACCTATATCAAGGAATTGTAAGAGATAAAAGAAGATAATGTAGAGAAAATGTCTGGCATGAGACTTGGTATACGAAGAGAGACTTGGTATACGAAGACCTCCACAAATATTATTCCCTTTCTATTTAATTAGTGCCTCTATCTTCCTATATGAGACTGTACATCTACCTAAAGTGGTTTCAAATTTTCAGTTATCCTTTTACTAATAAATTTTTATATCAAACTAAAGCTATCAATCTTATGATTATTAAAGTTATAGCCAGGTTTTCATGGAAACAGCCCACTTTATAAACAGAACATATTTATATTAGAGATTATATTTTAACTCAGACACCTTTTAACTACTGGGTATTTTGCTGCCAGATCTCCCACAGTTATTCATATCTCCTAACCTGGGGCTTTATGTGATCTTCATTACAACCAAATGAGGCACCCAGAAAAGCAAGGTTCAAACAGATATCTCTTTCAACTGCCTTACCTTTCATTTCCTACTTACTGACCATGCAGTCTATGCCTAAATTAAGAAATCAAAAACGATCTTTTGGAAATTTTTTAGAATAGATCTAGATTTTAACGCTAGATTGCTTCCAATGCCATTAAGTTCCCTTGGAATATTTGTGTCATATCAGGGCTTCTTTCTTAATCATTCTCAAAATAAAAATCCTCTCTTTTACTGCATTCATCTTAAATACTGCCAAGTATTAGAATACTATAAGTGAGTTTTCAAAATATTACCTTCATTTCTTAACATTGTATAAATATCCTTACAAGTCTGAGCTAAGATGGATACTATATGTAAAGCACCCAGCCATACATGGTAGGCGCTTTACAGATGTTACCTCTCCTTAACATAAAACAAATACTTCAGTCACATTAATCTTTTAGAAAATGTGATTTCTTTATCTGAAAAACAAATGCCAGAAAGAATCATTGTATGCGTAGACTTAAATATAAAGCAAGGAGTAATTATTTCATTACTTACAAGACAATTTGTATAAACAGAACTTATGACAATTATATTAAGGGCAACTAAGTTGAAAATAATCCCTCCCTTTTCAGGGAACATAATGAACCTTTAGCATCAAATTATAGAATTACTTCCTCTACCCTCTTTAAAAACAAGAAGGGTCTACTTGATTGGAGTCAATCAGTTGACTCCTATTTATGGTAAAGCGTTTACAATTCTTTCCTACTCAGAAAATGTACAATCTTGTCCATTAAAAGACTCAGTGTGGTTTGTTAAAAAGATGAACACATTAGTGTCCCACAGACCTACATACTGAGCGTCTCTTTCTGTTAAGAGTCCCCAAATATTTTATCTTCTAGCGCAATTACATGTAGTAATGTAAATGCCTGGGTTAAAGTAATTTTTATCAGGAAGTCAGAACAGATCAACATTTTGTTTCCACTTTGATGTTAATGCTAACAGACCCCAGGGAGACGAACTTGAATGACGAGTTCATATCACATCATGACTCTCGAAATATTGATAAACAATATTTAGGGCAATGTTTTCATACATCTAACAAGTTAGTTTTCACAAAAAGCACAGGCTAACCTTTTTGAAAACAAAAATGTTTTAAGACACCATAGAGATTGTTTTTTGTTTGGCTTTGTTAGTTTGGGTTTGGTGGTTTGTTTTTTGTTTTTTTTTTAGGTGGGGAAGGGCTTCAAAAACTCATAAATTCATTGTCATGTCTACCTGGAGCTGATCTGCTGTAAAGCTTGTTCGAGCTCTTTTTGCTGGTTTTGGATGATTGACATCTTGCTCTGTGAGGAGGGCGCCTTCGACACTAATCCCATTACCTGCATTTAAAAAACACACCATTCATACAATAATAGGTTGTTGTATGAACAATCATACAATAATAGGTTTCTTGCATCTCTTGGCTTGGTATGAAACTGTATACATCTTCTAGTTTGCCAAATCCCTTAAGTTTCAGAACATACTAGAAACATACTGTGGAAACAATATTCCATCTGTAGGCTTGTATATTTAGTCAAAAGTGTACCAATTTGGAAGTGCACATCTAAGGCTCATCCTTACAAAGGCAAATACAAGGAAACAAATGGTTACAAAAAGCAAAACAGAACCCTAAACTCAAGGCTGCTTCCTGAGAATATGGCACAAGGCGAATACATATGCCATGGCTTTTCTTGTAAATAAACAGATGGAGACCATCACTAACAGTAGAGGGCTTAATGAGTTTCACCACAATTACACTGCACAAAGTAATGCTTTAAGACGACCTTAGGAAAAATCGTTATTGTCCCTGTGTTCACTGTCCCAAAAGATTCAAAAGTATTTTAAGTATATATTTACCATTTTCCACTTCTCTTTTTAAATTATCCAGCATGCAGTCATAATGCACTCTGCAGAGGACTTTCTCTTCCACCAAAGCAAACTCCTCTCCTGTGGAAAGTTGCCTTTTGCAAGAAAAGCAGGCAAAGCACGCCAAGTGATAGACATTCCCCTTGGCCCTCCGGACCCAGTCAGTAGAATGGATGTGCCTCCCACAGCGAGAGCAGCGAGTTCCATACCTTCTACATAAATAGAAGGGTGGGAGGTGAAGATTTTAATGCTTGGTGAGATATTCATCAGTCTAAGATTAAATTAACACATTATTTACTCATTGGATTAACCCAAGTATTTAAATCTTTTGAAAAGGAAACAGGAATCAATTATTTTTTAAAAGTCATATGGTACACAATCGAGACTTGAGATGGGATCATAATTCAAACCTGTTTATAAAACAAAAACTTCTCATTGTTACTCTAAAGGAGAAAAGGATTTTTTTTCTTTTAAAATAAATGACATAGGAGTTTCAGTATCCTTCTTGTAACAAATATCAGTGCATTTATAAATTACCTAGAGACTCAACATAACACACACACACACACACACTCTCGAGACTGAAACCTAAAAATACAAAAGCATACCATTGAAGATATAAATAATGACGTCTTAAAATCAAGTTGAGATAATTAGAAAATGCTCTAAACATTTTTTTAAAGTTAAAACATTTTAAATTGATATTATCAAAGCATGAATAGAACAGAAATTGTTCACTCTGGTGTGAGGAAACCTCAGAAACCTCAGTGAAGGAAAACTCAGAAATGTTTCCTTTGGTGAACAAACTGTTGCAATACCATCCACAAGAGGAGGGGAAATATTACCTAAAACTTTTAGACACATATCTGGACATTAAATGCAAGTTAATCTTAACAAAATGCCAGATGTAAAGATTTCTTTTTTCTCTCAGTCCTAGTGACCAGACACTCTCTGTCATATCTCCTACCACAACTGCAGTCATAACCTGGCATATCCATGTTAAACTAGATAAGTATAGAGGTATTGCCAGTTTTTAAGTTAATCTGAAAAACTGTATCATAAAAATAAATTTCAGAATATAATAAAATATGAAGTATAAAAAAAATCCTGAAGAAATAGACTTTCAATAAGCCTCCGAAACCAAACATTTCAAGGGGCTTTAAATTACAAAAAAAAAAAAATTAAGATTAGCATATCCTAAGTGAAAGAGGAGGCAAACTGCTACTATTTTTGAGGAAACAGAGAGCAAACCTGATGAGAAATATATGTTTTGGGTAATTATAAAATTCTATGACTTTATAAAATAAAGGACTCTGGATTTCATGAAGGGCTTTAAATTACCTAGCAATTTTATTCAAATCAATCACTAAACTCTCTTAAATACGTTTTTGAAATTGAGTATAAATAACATAATTAGTATTACAAACTTCAGTATGTACTATTAACTTCCCAATTTCACAATGAACATTCTTCTTCGTTTGGAAATGCAAATAGGGAAAAAATGTGATAGTTTTCAAAAGTCATGCTTAAGGATTTCAATTTCGAGATAGAATTTAATTCTTAATGGATAGCTATCTTAGAAGAAACTTTACACTTAAACTATTATAAAGAGACCATGTGGAGAAAATGTTACATTTAATATCCTAGGCAAATACAGTCTCACAAAACAAAGATCAAAGAACGGACAAAAGAAACAGGATTTTTAGGCAGAATACGTAATTAGACTTGGTGTATTTCCGATACTGGAATGGTCAATTCTTCTGAATAATATGGTCTAATCACAGTTTCCAAACTGCTGGCATTTTATAGGTATATTTCGAGGGGTCATTCTATAGTAAACTGGAAAAAGCACAACAAAACCTTGATTTTTTCCCCCATAATTATTTCATTTTGGTCTTGCTACTCCCCCTGAACAAAGGGCTTTGTTATAATAAGTCATCTTATGTTTCATACTTTATATCTCTGCGCAGCAAAGAAAGTTCCCTGTTTTTAATACCTAAAACTTTCATTCGCCAAAGTGGAAATAATTATTTTAAATTAATTTTTGTATACTGAGTTCCTAAAACACATAAGCATGTGAATTTTGTTTTAATACAAATTATACCTCAAAAATATGAAGCATTCTCATTTTGAAATCCATTGTATAAGAAAAAGTGGGCTTCAGTAAATAAAACTGGACAAGAAAGGCTATTTACAAAATTCTCTTTGTGTAATACCTTCTTGGAGTATCTACTTACTAAAAAAAAAAGTTTCAGTGTACCTGAAATAATCAAGTTTGCAGAAAATGTCTTTGTCTTTAATATAACAGCTGGTATGCCTTCCTAAGGAGGTCCTGCAGACACTACAGGAGAGACACCGAACATGCCAGCACAGGTCATTCACCTGTGAAGAAGAAGGGGTTAGGATGAGAAGCCATTCTAATACCACACTTAAGAGTATCCTTCATTGGTTTTCTGTATCAGGCAATTTTAAAAGCTGGCCTCTTAATATTTTAACACATGCTCTGAATGTTTCTATCTAAGAGGTGTCATTTACACAAATACACATCTAGATATATTCTCTTTTAGACCTCAACCAGAAAATCACAGTAGCATATTATACACTTTGTGTTTAATTTTTTAAATATACTTTTGAAAAATTCAGGTTTTTTAAAAAATTGAGTGTCTATTCAGGTATTTTTTGTTTGTTTTTGTTTTGTTTTGTCATCGAACGTCTATGAACATAGGGAAAATTCTGGCCACTTTGAAGTCCTACATACTGGTTTTATATTTTTTTCCTTGACCAAATTCTTCCCACCATGAAACATGGTAGCTAAAGAATTCAAGCCACATCCCTTCTCAATCTACTTTTTAGTTAAAGTGAGAAAGAAAATGGAAAAGAAGCTTTGTAAGAAATACTTACCCGTGTAAAGAAGCGAGGTAATCCATTTTACTTACAAAACAGAAATTCCTAAGGTAGATTTAAATGTTGAAATGGCCAAAGCCCTGGCTCCTGTCTAACATTAAATAATCAAAACATAAAGCATTGGTAACCCTACTTTAATGATTTGGTTACTAGAGGAAAAAAATAAATCTATTATAAGCGGTTCTAAAAAGGTACCCAACTATTTGCCATTTATACTTCAGGAATTAAGACATTAAATGCTTTGATTTAATTTAATAAATCACAGCACTTTATATTCTATATAGGAGCATGAAACATTGTCAAATCAGGGGAAAAATCATAAATAGCCTTACCTTAAACTGTTGCTATCATAGTATAAGCGGCACATCTTTAGCCTTCAAAAACGAAGATGTGTATTGAATTGAATTTGCCTGTAATGCAGGCTCCTAAATTTTGCTCTTGTTAAATGGACACAAGAGCTACGCTTATGCTTAATTAAATTTCGTTTAAAACAACGGCAATGATGCAAAAACACCAGTTATACTGTACAAATGGATCTAATGCCTAATATAAGAATTAGGAAATTGGAAAAATGGGAAATTGTGAAATACAGCTTTTGCTACACTATTTCATAATAAAGACTATCTTGTCCAATGTTTCTATCATATTAGCGCTACTGTTCAACATATTTTTCTGTGATATGAAATATAAAGGGTCCTTCGAAGCTGAAGAAAGTTTCACTGGCTTCTAATTACAGTTATGTGTCTCTTTCCAAAGCACTAATGAGAGTATCATTTTAGTGAAATTTTAAGTTTTGGTCTTGCTATGAAAGAACTACATGCTCACCATACAAGAAAACAGGGAAAACAGCAATAGCAAACAATAGGGAAAAAAATCTGAGGAAATCGAAATTTAAAAAATTAACAATGGTGAATGCTGTCCTATTAATTAGAGATGCATTTTCTTTCTATTTTTTTCCTCAAACAGGCCCAATTAAGTTAAAGTGTAGAAATACAGGTTTCCTTTAGTATTCCACTGTTTAAGGCCTTCTGCATTTTGATGTTATCCAGGCTCTTTTTTTTTTTTTTTAAGCAAGGCTAGATACAGGCTTCAGGGCACAGTCATGGCCATTCTCTAGTTCCCTAAAGCCAGATGTAATGCCTGGTTTGCCACCTTTCCTCAAAGTTTACTTAAAAAAAAAAAAAAAAAAACTCCAGCTTCCATTTCTTTTCCAGAGATGAAAGTAAGGTGAACAGAGAAAATTCTGGCGACTATAAACCTTTCCTGATGGCTACATTGATCCAATCTCTGTATGTATACATATATAGGACCAAGCCAGAAAAAAATCACTCAAACGACAGGGCACTGAAGTATTAGATGGGGCAACAGATGCATCTAACTCCTCTCATTTTTTTTGTTCTAACTCCATTTAACTTGCCTCACAATATGGTGTTTTTCTATATTAAACAGTTATACCCTCAAATATTCTATAAGGTCTAACAATTATTTTTTCACCAGTGACTCAAATTGAATTCAAACTTATCTGGAAGAATGAGCACACAAAATGGGGGCAAAAAAGTTAAGAACTCACTTTTTAATCATAAAGTGTCAAACTTTTGTTAGAACTAGTTTCCTATATAATAAGCAGCAGCTAGTTTTCTTGTACATATACTAATATGTACAAAAAGGGGTGGACTAAGACTGTACGTAGAAGACTTCATTGAGAGGACTCTGGTCCTACTACAAAGGAAAGCTTTAAAAGACTCTTCAGGTAACTTAGATTATTTTATACAACACACATATATAACATATAAACATATGTTTAACATATAAAAGATGAACACTAGAAATGATTTTATCTATTTCAGAGGATAGGTTGAGTCACTTTATAATAACTTTTTTCTTTATCCTCTCTGCTGTGTAGTGGATCCATTATAGATCCATCAGAAACATTCTTAAAGATTAAGCTAATTATTGAGAGGGCTCATTGAAAACAAGAAACTAGTTTTGATCCAAAAGATGGTTTTTAAATATCCAAAAAGGCTCAGGTGTGGAAACACTGGAATGGGAATCTTAAGAATGCAGATTTAAAGAGAAAGCCAGCTTTAAGAATCAACCACCAATTAAGTAAATTAGTCACTTTTTAAACGTTTTCACCAAAACTCCTTTTGGTGCTTTATCTGGGTTGTATCTACAGGGTATCATTCCAACTCCCCAGATGAAGCAGCTTTGTATGTCAAGGGAGAAATTTAAAGAAGCTCACTAATTTGCTTTTTGAATTCATATTCTCCATAATGAATTCTTTTGAAATCCTGGGGGGAGGGCGGAGGTGAGGAGAATAGAAAGTGAACTGGTTTGCTACTAAGTCAGTGTAGGAGAGATCATTATTTTAAATAGTGGTTTTAAAAAGCTACTGAAGTTGAAATTCCATGGTATTAGAATTAAGACACAAGGGACTATGATCCTTCATGCAATGACATGGGTAACTAGCCTGCCAGAATTTGTACTCCAAAACTCCCCCACAATATCTTGAGAGAAGTAAAACAAATCGAGACAGTCAACTCTCAAACCACCACTTGAAGCACTTCATCCCAAGTATTTTTCTTTCTTTCTGTTTTGTATAAATTTACATCAATTTCCATTTTTTTCCCACTGAGCACTGAAGATGACATTTAAAAAAAAAATCATTCGGTGGCCCTGAAGTATTAAACCTTAATGAGAGGAGGAAGATATTGAAAATGGTTTTCATTTAAATGCTTTTACTCTGGAAAAGCCTCAGGTTAGTGTAAATAAACATAAGACTGTAAAATATCTATCCAGAAAAGACCCTTTAAGACACTTGACAGTGGTTCTCACCAAAGGAGACACTGAAAAGGGGAAATCGATCAACATATACAGACCTGGAGTCCTCAAAAGCAGGCAGACGGTGTGGGTGTTATTGGGGGTGGAGGGACCATAACCCGAGGCTCAGTAAAAATAATCGGGCAGGACCCTGTTTCCAGAATGGGTAAGCGTTTCCCCACTTCTGTTCCTCTACAAGTAGGTGGCTAACTCCAGCACATCCACCCAGGGTATCGGCACGTCTAGACCAGGATGGGTCACACGTAAGCAGTTTTGCAACAGCGGGTATTCTAAGATTTCTTCTCCCACTCTTTCCCACCGCATGAGCTGCCCCTGACTGGGCCGTAGTGCTGAGAAAGTCTACAATCTCCAGCGAGAACTTGAGTGGAAAAGAGAGGGAAAGTAAACTTTTCTCTTCTCCCAGAGCTCCCGGGGAACCCCGCTGCCCCTGGGCCTCGCGGCTCCGCCCTACCTTGAGAAGGTACTTGTCCACGATCTCCAGGCCGCAGCTGTTGCACACACACTTGCCAGGGGGGCAGACGGAGCCCGAGGCCATGGACCGGGGCGAGGACGACGGGGACAGTGGGGCCGAGGAGGAGCACGAGTCCTCGTCCCCCACTCCCTCCGGGCTCACCTGCAGGAAGCCACGAGGCGCGGTCTCAGGAGGTTCTAGACCCCCCCTTCTCTCCCCATCCCACAGACCCAAGGGGGATCCCTCACAGCCTCCCCTACCTTACCCCAAACCACCCCCAGTTCCTGAGGTCCCGCTTCTCGCCCTCTCCCCCTGGGTCCATGCTCCCACCACGCCCCAGCCGGGGCTGCAGACCACTGACCTCAAGGACCTGGGGCGCCTGGCGGCCCTGCGCAGCCCGCCACACTGGCTCAGCTTCTCCCCCCGCCCCAGAACCCCTCTCCACCCGCTCCCCGAGGGGCCAACTGCGCCCGAGGAGGAGCGCGGCGAGAGCAGCCCTACATCCTTGGGCTGCCTCACCACGGCCCGGCTCGCCACCACCCGGGTCCCTACCCACTCACCAGTCCCTCTTCCCCGGCGCCTTTCCGAGTCCTCCCGGCCGCCAGGGCTGCAATCCGCCCGCACTCCTCCGACATGAGCCCCTGGCACTGAGGAGGTGAGGGCGGGGAAGTGGGGAGGAACAGAGACGAGAAGTTCAGAGCCGGCACGTGCGGCCCAGAGCTTCAGCTTCTCCGCACGCGGGGCGGGCTAATGAAGGCCCACGGCGCTCCGGGCCGCACGTGCAGCCGTCTGGGCGCCTGGGCCAGCGCGCGCCTGGCAAGCCGACGCAGCCTCCCTTGCAGGCAGCGGGCGGCGGCGGCGGCGGCGGCGGCGGCGCAGCCTCAGCGCGCGACTAGGAGGCCACCGGAGCACCAAGGGCTCGCCCGGAGCACCAAGGGCTCGCCCGGCGCGCTGCCGCGCTCTCGGGGCTCCGGGTCCCCGCGCTCACCGTAGCACGTCGGTTCCCCGCCCCCCTGCCGGGGGTAACAAGTTAATAACAATCATCCCAGCACAAAGCAGTTTCTTTCTAGACGTCAATCACAGAGGAGCAGGGATCACCCGGCTAAAGGGGGTGCATGGGGGTGGGGTGAAGTGGGAGAGAAGAAAAGAGGATTTGAGGAGGGGGTAGGGGTAGGAACTTGATTTCTTTAATAGCCTCAATTAAAAGAGCAAGACACATATATATTTTTAAAAGGGGGCTTTTTGAATTGGATAGCCCGAAAGGTGAAGAGGTTTAATAGGATACTTGAAAGCTAATTACAGCGGGATTTAAGAAGCCTGGTGTTTGTTCCGATGACAATTTGAATGAAAATGCTTCAGATTAAACAGAGCCAGCAGCTCTTTCGTAAACTTACAGCAATTAGAGCTGCGAGTGATTTATACTCGTTTCTTTAAGGTGTAAATTGCCACTTATTGCTCGGTAAGTCAACATTTGAGCTACTAAAGGATTATTTTTAGCTAGCGCAAAAAGCGGGTCGAATAATGGAAATTATCCAGCTGAATTTAATTTGTGTCATTAAAAAAAAAAAACTCACCCAACCTCGGTCAAAATGTTTTAAAGCAACAACGCGCATTACTCAAGTGTTTCCAAGCCTTTGTAGGAGTTTTGTTCTTAAACGAAAACGCAGCCGCTCTGGTCTTTTTCTGCCTTCGTTTACTGAAACTCTAGCTTGGGGGGCGGGGGGGGGGTTCCCGGAACTCGAACGGCCCACACTTCTGCATTTCTGTCTCTTCGCCTCCCTCTTTTCCTCACTCTGGTAGCACCAGAAGAGATACTGTCAGAGCCCCCCGGTCCCCTGGGCTCTCCGCCGGGACCCTCGGGTGCGCTCCCTATTCGGGACCCAGCGCCGCAGGCACAAAGAGTTTAGGCAGAAGAGCCCCGAGTTCGCCGAGTGTTCCCCGCCAGCGTCGGCGCGAAGACAAAATCAGTGGTGCCCAGTGCGGGTCCGGCGGAGGCGCTCCAACAGGCTGCAGATGATTTTCAAACCTAAAACGCGAGATACGCCGCGGCTCCTGCCTCCAGAGTGAGGTGAGAGTTTGTCAGTTTCCCCCCATCTACTCGAAGAATGGTGTGACTCGAGAGCCCTGGGGTTGGCTTCTTTCGGTTTTTTAAAGTAAAATGGCTTTCCTAGCCCGCCCTAGGATCCAGAGGCCTTCCTGGAGCCACGTCTGCTTCTATTTCGCTGTGGGGCCGCGGCAGCGCGGACCGCCCTACGGCCGGAGGAGCTCCTTAGGGCCGGCAAGCATCCGCCGGCGGCTGGGAGCGGGAAGCCGCGCCTCTATTCCTTCCCACCCCACAGCCGCCTGGACCTCCCGACTCACTCTCCCGACCGCCCTTTCACCACTGCAAACACAACAAAAGCACGACTCACATGTACCCGAGAGCGCCTTAGGCTTGAGGCTTCGTCTCCCAAATTACGGTCTCCATGGCCTCAGGTTAAGTGAGCTTGTGGGGAGGGGAGGCAATGATTACTGACTAACGCTACTACGTAAGAAAAAAAAAAACACTGCCAGGTTTGAAGATGAGGCCGTTACAGGTAATTTCTGAACCTCATTTAGGAGCGCAAACAGCTCGCAGGAAACTGCGATTCAGCTGGTCTGGCCAGGCGTCGGGTCGCTCACCTTCTCGGGAGGAACTGCCAGCTCCGGCACGTCCTTTTCTTCTAGTTTACACACAAACATCTGCTCGCTTTTCCAATACATGGCACTGCTAGGGCTGCTTATCACATACCAACTCCAGAGGGTCAGAGGCTGTCCGTGTCTGCCGATCTGGCCCGCTTCCCCAGCCCCAGCGCACTAATAAAAGCTGACACCGAGAAGAGAAAGAATGCTACAAGTCTTCGTCCAAAGAGGCCGCTGTGACCGTAACCACTCTGATGGACTGCTCTTAAGATTGTTTCCCAACTTCATTGAGGTCTGTCCCTCTAGGAAAAGGAAAAAAAGTTTTGTTTTTCCAGAGGGTGGAACCTTACATGAAGGGAGGGAAGAGGGTGTGGGGGGAAAAGTCTTTTCCTGGAGGAATAGCCTCACCTCATTAACAAACACCCGCCTTCTCTACAAGTCAAGATCTTTATCAGGACAAGCCAACTTACTCCAGATTTAGTATTAAAGAAGAAGAAGAAAAAACAAAAAACCAAAACATTGGGAATGGCCTGTTAACTTTTGACTTAAAAAAAAAAAAAACTCCTCTCTGCATTTGCCGTGGCTTTTTGATTCTCACTCCCCAACCAAAACCTAAACAAAGATTCAGGTTACATCTCTTTCTGCAGCAAGCTGAAGGGGAAGCGGAGGTCTGGATGACTTGAATGTTTCAGTCATTCTCCTGAAACGAGCAGCTCCCCTGTCTAGCTGAGGACAGAGACAGCTCCCTGGAAACCTGGGGGCTGACTTATCTAGAGGTTCGCACTCCCTTTGTGAAAAGTTTCCTTATTAAGATAAAGAAGGAACATCTGAGCAGCACAAAAGCTTTATGATTTGCGACTAGATTTGAAATCAAGGCTACAAGAAAGACAAAAAGTATGTTGCTAATAGTATTGCTCTTTCATCTCATCCTAGGCAAAATTTAAGCCATAGAAGCGGCCAGCTCCTGCCTCAGATTTTGGCGGTGGGTTTGTTGGGGGGAAGGGGGGTGAGAGGGGGTTCTCAGAATACCGTAATTTTGATTAGAATTGGAGGGTGTTTAAATAACTTATTTATGGTATAAATTTTACTTCCTTATGTAGTGTACAAAGAGGAATTTGGTAAGACTAACAATTTTTATTTCCAATTTTCCCTTTTTGAGAAAACAAAGCAAGCTTCTGAAACAGTAATATAAGAATATTTAGGAGTCTGTTTCTTAATGGCCTTTAACAAAATCATATGATGTTGCTTCGATAAGATATATATGTTTATAATATTATCTCCTTGCCTTATTGTAAGGAAGAGGAAGATCGAAGTGCTCCAGCCCAGACCCGTCAGCAGCAGGCTAGAGGAAGGGCAGTGGGCAAACACAGGTAGAGTTTACTGTGATGAAGTGAGCCCATGTAACAGCCTGGGACCAAGCAACGACTGCAAATTTAGTTTTTTCCTCCATTACATTTTTCTCCCATAAACACGAGGGTCTCTAGAGCATTCTCCTAACGCCATTGTTTACGCACAGCTGCGCCCACATTAATATTAGCTATCCCCCTGCAGGTCCTCTCTGGGAGCTCTCGCTTAAATTTACGCAGTGTGGGGGAGGGGAACGCTATGATTAATCTGTGCCCTCTTACAGAATTGAAGGCTTGGAGTGGACCGACTTCTCGAAAAGCTAACCTGTGCTTGGAGAACAGAAAGGCTTGTGTTTCTCATCAAGTGCAAAAATTAGTATTTTTTGAAAAATCCACATAATGCATTTTCCATGAAATAGCATCGGTCTCGAGATGGCTCTTCTGAATGGAAAGAGTCGTGTAGAATGTTGACTACCAGGCCGTGTATAGAGCAGGCATGAAAGTGGAATTAAAAATAAAGACCCAATTCGGAGATTTAGTTAGTTTCTATGCGTGAGGGTCTGCAAAATGAATCTGGGGTACTGTTTGGCTGCTATCCGGGAGAATAAGTCGCGCGGGTCATTTGGAGATCCGCGGAGAGCTGGAGTTGTTTTTGGAAGTAGGGCGGGGGCGCGGGCGTTTATGCGGTCTTTCCAGCCCCCCCCCCCCGCCTAATCAGGAGGCTCTCAATCAGGTTTTCAAAATACTAATCTTGATCTAAGAGCTCCTATCGCTGCATAAGTGGAGGAAATGATTCATTTTTAGAGGCTTCTGGGCTTGGGGAAGAAGAATGGTAGTCAGACGTAAGAAGACCTAAAAGACTGGTCTGGCGGCCGCTTTACTCCTGACGCCCGGCACTACGCGGACTTTTCCCGCGGGGTAATTGCGTGCACCCAGCCTTGCTCAGTAGGCCTGCAGGTGATGAATTTCTGAGTCCCAGGCGGTGTAGGCCTTTCGTGTGTGGAGGCGGGAGGAGGAGGAGGATGCGCAGGTGTTTGCTATGAATGTCAGGGCTGAGCTTCCCTCTCGTCCTCGACCCAACCACCCTGTGACCCCTTGCCAAGCGCAAGCATACCGAGGGGTCATTCCTGCACAGTGGCCCCAGCTCCTCGGAGCTCGCGTCACACCTCTTACCCAGGCTCCTCCTCGGCTCCGGAAAAGGAAGGGTTCGCTTGATGCTTTGCAGAGTACCTCTTCCTGCGTTAGGTGCTTGTGCTAAAAGTCAGGACTCGTTTTGTCTTCGTAATGAGGGTTTTTAGCTCGAACTCCAACTGAGACCAATTTGGGTCGAACAAGGACAGACCAAAAAAACATCATCATGTGTGTCTGCAGGTGGGTGAGGGTTCGCCGCGTTGGGGCGGTTCCTACCTACTAACTTGAAATTTCTGGAATGCCGCCTCTCCTTAAATGAAAATCTGAGACCTTAAGCCCACCCAGGGGGCAACCAACACCTCTGGAGGGCAGGGCTCTTTGCAAGGGTGGGAGAAAGAAAGCCAGAGACTTGGGAGTGCATCCTGTCCCGGGCTTTGCGGTGCCCAGCTAGTTGGGAGGCGCAGGGTGTCTCCCTAAAGCCCGAGGGGGTCAGGGAAGGGGTCTGGGTAGAGTCAGGCCTTGATTGGAGGTCCAGGGCTGGAGAGCGGGAACACCAACCCGCTCTGACCCCCGCAGCTTCCACTCACGGCGAAGAGCTGCCTAATTGGGCTACGAGCAGCTGCGACATTTGTAATCGCCTAATAAGTCTTCCACCTCGGTAATTCTTATCCAGAGGCATAAAACTGATATTTTCACACTCGGCTTGCACCACAGGAACTGTTTATAAACATCCTTCATCAGTGGGATGAAATTAAGCCTGCATTGACAAGAGGTCTCTGGAACTCGATATTGAAAAGCAATAGATCCGAATTAGCAAATTATTACTTTAAGTAGGGAAA